CATGTACGTAGTTCATAATAGTTATGATAATCATGTTATTACATGTTTCGTATGGTTTTTTATGTCAATAAGATATCTATAACGAATTCAGTTATTTGCTGATTTTTCATATTATATTTGCACTTTTATTTTAGTAAGATTACCTCCCACAAGGATCACAAATAAATTTATCTTTAGTGAATGATAAACTTACCATGATGATCATATATACATTTCCTTGCACACTTCAATACTAACCAAATACAAGAAAAGCAAAAATATCTAATCAACAAAATGTTTTAAGGCCCCCCAAAAAAAAATCGGATGTGACCCAGCCCCCCATACTTTTTCCCTTATGTTTCAGCCCTTTCACATTCTCCCAGAAATTTTTTTTCCGAAATTACCCTTCCCCTCTTCTTCTTCTTCTTCTTCTCCTCTGCCTCCTCTCCCCTCTCTTCTTCTTCTTCTTCTCCTCCTCTTCTTCTTCTCCAGACCCTTTTATTTAAACAAAAGAGGCAGTGTTTACTAAACCATCCCTGTAGTCTCTTTTAACCCCATCCTCTGCTACTAATGAATCACAAGAGGCCACAATTTTTGAGATCCGCTAGCTACTAAAGATTCTCTCTCTCTCTCTCATCTCTAAATTTTCCGATGGCGGAGGTGGCGCCTCGCGAGAGCGATGGAATCCCAGGCGAGCCCTCGGACGCCGTGGTGTTTGTCGGGATCTCTCTCGTTCTCGGAATCGCTTCAAGGCACGTGCTTCGGGGGGCTAGAGTTCCGTACACCGTCGCTCTTCTCATCATCGGCATTGTCATGGGATCTCTAGGTTAATTATTCTCTCTCTGTGTTTTTTGGATGTTAATTTGAGTACAACAGTAGTTTCTCTGTAATTAACTTGAGTTCCTTTGATTAAGTTGATATGGCAGTTTTATATTTTTGATGATTGATGTTTGGTTGTTAAGGCTTTTTTTGCCTTAATTATGTGATTTGTGAATTGACTTAAGGTTTCCACCCCTTGTGAATTGCCTTAAGTAAACTGACGCCTGATGGCTTTTCAGGCTTTAATGATGATGATTATTATTTCTTTTCATTAGAAATAGAGTTAAATTGAGTGTTTTGATGTTGAATTATGTCAACGTATTGAGGATTTGATGTGGATCTGTTCTTTATCTTGATTTCTTGCAGATGAGATTTCTTGCACACAAGGTGTTTGATATAATGCATTGGTGAGAACAAATGGTTTTATTAGAGAGAATGACTCAATCTCAGGTGTGTGTTATAATTTGATGGAATTAAACAAGATTTGAGACTGATGAAAAAAATCTATGCAGGTGAAAACCCAGAGATGATTAGTTGTTCAGAATAATAGTTTTGATTTGTCTTAGTGAGTGCATTCTGTGGTGAGAGAGGAATGGACAGTTAAAATTTTTGATAAGGGAATGCTCTATGAAGGAGTGCCTGAAGATAGAATGGTGAAGCTTCTTCAGATTGCATTAAAGTGCATATACAAATCTGCCGATGCTCGACCAACTATGAGTCAAGTTGCCGAGATGATACATTCATTGAAGGAAGAAGATGATAGATCTGTTGTGTCTGAAATTGATTCAAGAGATGCTTAAAATTGGGGAGTTTGTTTTTATAATGTCCTGGAATTTATGTATATGTTCCGTTTGACTATTATCATTTGCTAGTGTATATGTGTTGGTCACATATGAGGAGGTGGAAAACATTGTTTATTTGTTACACTGATGACATAGGTGATATTAGTCCAAATGGTGCTTTCAAGCTCAAATTTAATCCTAGTATGTTGACTTTTAGCAGAACGTGTTAACTTTCATCCTAGTATGTTAACTTTTCATATTGAATGTTAACTTTTGCTGCTTTATGTTAACTTTCATCCAAACCTGTTAACTTTCACTGCTTTATTTTCGTAGAAACGTTTAAAAAAAGCTATGAATGTAATTGGTGATTGGTGTGGATTGCTTATTAGTACAATACTTTTGGTAGAGCAATGTAGGTTGTCAAGACTTGTGTAGCACATTGTATTATATTTTTATAATATCTAAGATTGTAAGTCTAATCTCAGGTTTTTTTCAAGCAATATCAGCTGTAAGAATGTAAAAAATTTTATTATAGTGAACATTAACATGTTTGAAAGTTAACATGTTATGATTAATGTTAACATGTTCAGTTAAATATTAACATATTATGGTAAAAGTTAACATGTAATAGTAAATGCTAACATATTATGCTGAAATTTAACATGTTCAACTAAAAGTTAACATGTTACGAAGAGAACTAACATATAATGATGAAAGTTAATATGATTTATGAAGAAAGTTAACATGTTATTATGAAAGTTAACATGTAACAGTGAAAGTTAACATATTATGATGAACATTAACATGTTCAGCTGAAAGTTAACATGTTACGATGAGAGTTAACATATAATGATAAAAGTTAACATAATTTATGAAGAAAGTTAACATATAATGAGATTTAATAGTGTATTGTAACTTGAAGATTATATACATGATTTGTATATATTATGTACACAATAACCTCAAGATTATGTACATATTATGTATCATAATATTCAGGTTTTGATAAACATAATTTATATATAATCTTCAGTTTATTATGCACATCAAGTTCTATTTGAAAGAAGTTGTACATATTCACATGACAACCACAATATATTTCACATACAATCGTAACAAATTACACCAAAATTGATCACTAAATAGACACAATACATTTCATTAAATTTTAATCTAAGTACAACCAAACCATAAGAACACATAGTATAATCAACTAAACAATGAAGCATAACATGTTACAAGCAATTCTGGATGCAACATAAGGATCATCAGTACAACAATCTTAGAATTGAGTAGTAGTCACTGGAGGATGCTTCGACATTCCACAACCATAAAAATTATAACACACGTTTGAGATTGAACCATTCTTTCCAATAAAACCATTTCTTCTCACCGAGATATTATATCAAACACCTTGTGTGCAAGCAATCCCCATCAGTTTGGGCTTCAAAGACCAATCGAATATCTTCCCAAATCGAGCCAATATCCCTCTGCATCCCAAATCATCTCATATTCACAATCCTCGTCATCCTTCTCTTTAGATGAAACTACCAAGTTCCTTCCAATCGATTTGATAGAATTCATGCATTCGCTCAACCATGTTAAAAAGAAATAGCAATATATGATGGATATATTAGAATACTGAGTCACCTCCAGCTGTGATTAATGCTTTACTAACCCAAGGATCACTTTGTTCTTCGTCTGTTTAGATAAAGAAAAAGTAGTCAAACAGCTAGCAATTCCAAGCAATAAATCAAAATAGGAAAATTGTTAAACATTAGCAATTTAGCATCAATCTCATCGAATCACCTCCAGCCACGTGTGGCACCCTGCTAGCCCCTAGATCAGCTCATTCTTCTTGCCATGTTAAAGGTTGAGACAGAAAAGACAATCAACAGGCTTGTACATGATATTCCAACTAGAAAAGAAGAAAAATAGAAGAAAGTATTGGTGATGTTAGGATGCTTTTAATTTGCCATCCACAACAGCTGTCAGTTGGCTATCCCATCGATCAAGCCCATCTTGAGTACCAAAAAAATGGATGTGTGAATATTACAGAGAAAATCATAAGAATATTAGCTTATGCAGAACTTCAAAATGAGCAAGATGTCTTTTACTTAAGGCAATTCACAAGGGGTGGAAACCTTAAGTCAATTCACAAATCACATAATTAAGGCAAAAAAAGCCTTAACAACCAAACATCAATCATCAAAACGATAAAACTGCGATATCAGCTTAATCAAAGGAACTCAAGTTAATTACAGAGAAACTACTGTTGTACTCAAATTAACATCCAAAAAACACAGAGAGAGAATAATTAACCTAGAGATCCCATGACAATGCCGATGATGAGAAGAGCGACGGTGTACGGAACTCTAGCCCCCCGAAGCACGTGCCTTGAAGCGATTCCGAGAACGAGAGAGATCCCGACAAACACCACGGCGTCCGAGGGCTCGCCTGGGATTCCATCGCTCTCGCGAGGCGCCACCTCCGCCATCGGAAAATTTAGAGATGAGAGAGAGAGAGAGAGAGAGAGAGAGAGAGAGAGAGAGAGAGAGAATTTAGAGATGAGAGAGAGAGAGAGAATCTTTAGTAGCTAGCGGATCTCAAAAATTGTGGCCTCTTGTGATTCATTAGTAGCAGAGGATGGGGTTAAAAGAGACTACAGGGATGGTTTAGTAAACACTGCCTCTTTTGTTTAATTAAAAGGGTCTGGAGAAGAAGAAGAGGAGGAGAAGAAGAAGAAGAAGAGAGGGGAGAGGAGGCAGAGGAGAAGAAGAAGAAGAGGGGAAGGGTAATTTCGGGAAAAAAATTTCTGGGAGAATGTGAAAGGGCTGAAACATAAGGGAAAAAGTATGGGGGGCTGGGTCACATCCGATTTTTTTTGGGGGGGCCTTAAAACATTTTTCCCAAGTTTTTTTCTTGTTTTGATACTAACCAAACACAAGAAAAATATATATATAAATTTCCCATCATATTTTATGTGTGAACCACACCCACATAATTGTGTTTCCTAATATATGGAAACTAACCAAATAGTCCCCAAATAAAAGAACTTTTAAAAAAGTCTTAAAAGAAGTCAGCAACTCTCTGCTTTCACCGCCGACTGCGGAAACAGCGGCAGGCGTTCGTGGGTCCCACAGCAGAGAAGGGAAGCGGGGTAGCGGTGGGATCGACAGCCCTGCGCGCGCACCCATATACCCAACGATTTTTGACCTGGCTCTCTCTCTCCCCTCCTACCCTTTATTTTAAAAAATAAAAGTAAAATAAATAGCATTAAAAAATAGTATAGCTCCAAATAAATAGCTATGTAATCGTGACTCTCGAGGACTGCTCACAAAAGAGACAGAAACAGAGAGGTGCAGAGAAAGGGTAGCCGAGATTTTTACCCTGAGTTTTTGTGAGGTGGGTGGAGTTTTGAGATCATTTTCTTGGGTTCTCGATTTCTTACATTATTTTCTTGAATTTGAGATTTATTGGGTGATATGGCCTAGATTTTGTTAGTCTTTTAAAGAGAGTTTTCTGGCCCTTTTCCTCTGTTTTATGTTCTGAGGTTGGATTTCGGTCCTCTGTTCTCCGTTATGAGTTGTGTTGATATTAGATTTTTATTTATTTATTTATTGGGATTGCTGTAATGGACTAAGCGATGTATTCTGATTGGGGTTCTTTAAATTTTACTCTTTTTTTAACTCCAGATATCAAGGACATGCAACTCCCTGGCCAAGGAATTGGATTCATGGGGATTTATGAAGAATATACTGGGATTTATTTATTTGGGAATTATCAGCTCCGGGCCTTAGTTTTATAAGGAAAGAGATTCTCTTGTAAATTATTGGAGGAGCAAATGTCACTAAGTTTTTTGATTTTATCTGCCTGCATGATTCTCTGTTAATTAAAACTGAATTCTGTTAGCCAGTTGTGTGATCTGTGATGGTCGTGTTGCTGTCATCTTTTTTGGTTTGCAACTGTTAGCGGATTTATGTGCATTTAAAAATTTCTTTGTCGGTTAGTTTTTTTGTTAAAAAATATTTTTCTTGAATCAATGAGTACGTTTCATTTCCATGCTATATACTATGTCAAAAATTTTCTTTAATTTCAATGTTATTATAACTTGTTTTGAACTTTTTTTTTGGGCCCCTTTATTTATTAACTGCAGGTACAAATTCAGTGCTAAAGGCAACTTGTTGTGAAGTTTTGTTTTGGTGAAGGTTGCTGTTTTGATGGGCTGTGTATGTGTAAAGCCTGTCAAGCACACGCCTGGATATGAGGATCCTGTTATTCTTGCTTCTGAGACAACTTGTGCGTGTCTGTACTAACTCTCTCTTATAATTCCAGGCTTGATCAGGGGATATATTAATATGTTTTATGTGTAATTCTAGATCGAGATTTATTCGCTTTTAGGATTTACAAATTGATGTGTATCATTAACTGTTAAATGCTAACTTAAATAGTTATATAATTGATAGGGAGATCCAGTATACTGATAATTGTATACAAAGCAGGATTCTGACCTTCGTTGCGCTAAATGCAAATTACAAGTAATTTGCACTTAATGGACTTGTTGATGATGGGCTACTAAACTGTGTATCCATGGTGATTTCAGTATCATGAAGCTAATCACATACATCGATCGCTCAATATTTGTTGCCAGTGATTTTAGATCCTCTAAAAGCCAGCTACGTGACTTATTGCAGGCCTTCAATTTTGTTGGTTATGATTTAAGGAATATATTCTCAATTTGAAACCTCACCATTGGGTTCAGTACGTAAATTCCAGTTCAGATTCTACTTGAAACACCAAGTATCTGTACATAGTGAGCATATGCAGTCATGGTGTGTGTTCAGATATACATAGATATTGTTATATGTATATATGCAGTGCTAATGCATACACACAGACGTATATATTACACCCATACATGTATTGTGTACATTATATCTGTATGTATTTATGAGTATTCATTTAGTTTATGCTACTTCTGGATTTCCTCATAGTTTGTTCATTTTCTTATACTTTGTTTTTATCTGAGTGCAGTTACTGTAAGTGAAGTAGAGGCGTTGTACGAACTGTTCAAAAAAATAAGTCATTCGATAATTAAAGATGGCCTTATACATAAGGTATTTTTTCACCCACTATGTAATTATGAGCAGTTAGAGTTATACAGAAGGGTATTGTTTTTTCTTATGCGATTACTTTCAATAAGCAGGAGGAATTCCAACTTGCACTCTTCAGGAATAGCAATAAGAAGAATCTCTTCGCAGACAGGGTCAGTTTTTCATTCATTTCCTCCCTTTACTTGATTATATATAGAGATCATTACTTTATTCTGCCTGTCTTTGGGTAAGATGAAAAGACAAAATAAATTGACAACAAAACTCTGAATTATCATCATTCATATAAACTCTATCCTTTTTAAGATCAAGTGTGCTGCAGCACAGATTATACTCTGTGTAAAATTCATGGCAGACATGCTGTTTTTCTATTTTCAAGAATTAAGAAATTTCAATGTGGCTTTTTGTGCAGGTATTCGACTTGTTTGATGCCAAACGCAATGGTGTTATTGATTTTGGAGAATTTGTTCGATCTTTAAGCATCTTCCACCCTGACACGGAGAAAACAGAAAAAATTTCATGTATGTAACTTTTGTCAATTACAGCTTATATATTAGTTATTTTAGATGTTTGGCAAATGTGTCATGCCTTCAGAGTTGGGTACTTCGGGAGTAGATCGAATTTCATGGTTTTGAGTTGTTGATCAGGTTCCTTTGGTTAGGAGGTTCTGATGTTAACAAGTTGCTTGTTTGATATTGTTTTCCAAAATTCTGACTTTCTTCTATTGTCATGTACTTTAGAGTATTTCTAACAGCTTCTGCTTTTGTTGTTGTAGTTGCATTTAGGTTGTATGACTTAAGGCATACTGGCTTCATTGAACCTGATGAGGTAGAAATGATAATTTCATTCTTTTGGGTTTTCTTTTACATCTGTATGTTTTTTTTAACTGCATTTCAAGTCTCTCCAATATGTCTTTCCTGTATGAAGTCGTTCTAAGAAACTAACATTTGTCATTCTCTATTGCTCTGAGCAGTTAAAGGAGATGGTGCTGGCTCTTTTAAATGAATCAGATTTATGCCTTTCAGATGATGTAGTCCAACAAATAGTCGATAAGGTGAGGATTTGTCTTGTGCATTCATGTATTTTGGCTACATCAGGAAAAACCTTTTAATTGGTCTTATGAGGCACTTATTTATTGTTGTTCACCTTTATAGACCTTCGCCGAGGCAGATAAAAAGGGTGATGGAAAGATAGATCCAGATGAATGGAAAGAATTTGTAGTTCAAAATCCTTCATTACTTAAGAACATGACCCTCCCGTATTTAAAGTAAGTCGTCAATCCTTCTGGCAAGTCGTATATTTTGATTTAAATAAAATCTCAAAACATTTTGAAGATCTCTTGATTCATGGTGTTGATGTCAATTTTCAGGGACATAACCATGGCGTTTCCGAGCTTTGTCATGAAATCAGAAGTAAATGACGACGAAATGATGTAATTGTTAAAAAGACTGATGTTGTCGAATGCAAACCTACATCACAAGGGAAAATGCCTCTTTGGAGCTCAGGTTTTCGGTTGAGCTCCTACAATGACAACGATAACAAAGAGTCAGTGATCTGCTTTTGATCCGTAGCAGATTTAGCAACTCGCACGTCGCAGCAAAATTTTTAGAATGAGGATCCTTAAAGGTGCTGCATATGCTACTCCCCTAATCTCACACTATCTTTCAGTTGTTACTGATGGGGGGAAGGAGCAATTCATGTGTATAGTTTTGACTTGAGGTTGTATGAAACATGTGTTCGGTTAATGAAAATTTTGAGGTTCTGATATATACCTACATATCGTCCAAGTTATTATCTATCATATTGTTGGGGATTCGAAACAATCAATCGAATCATTGCCTTTCCGGACCTTGTGTTAAAAGTAGGAAAGTAGGAATAATACCACAAATAAAGATCTAACCTTGTAAAAATAGTAAAGGAGACGAACACACAGATTTAACGAGGTTCGGCAACGTGCCTACGTCCTCGGGAGCCACACCACACAATCTCTTTTATTAATTGAAGAAGAATACAAGCTCTCAAACTAGGGTTTTATCTCTCTAATATTCTCTCTTTTTTTGCAGTCAAAAAGCTCTCTTTTTGTGTCTTACAAACCCTAAAAACGTTTGGGTATTTATAACAAACTCCAGCCAAACAGGATTCCTAAACAGTATAGGAAACAGGGAAACAGCGTCGCGGTCGACCGTCGTACCAAGGTCGGTCGACCGGCCAGAGAGAAAAATCCATTACAGTGTCCTGTGCACATTTGCGGTCGATCACAGCGGCCACGCCTGTCGACCAACCAGAGCGAAAAATCCTTCTCAGTCCTGCAGTGCACGCGGTCGACCGGATCTGCCACTGCGGTTGACCGCACAGTCTTCTGACTGTTTTCTTCGTCTTTTCGATTGCAGCTTCGGGTCTACACACTTAGACTAACAATCTTCCACTTGGAGACCAAAGCCCTATCAACGAGCTCACCCGAACTCTCCTCTTCTTTGCATGTATCTTTTCCCTGAAAAATTCTTTCTTCAATCAACATCCCGGCGATCGCGTCGATCCTTGTAGTGTGGCTCCGCCTTCGTCTTCTACTCGTGAATGTCAACTGAAGTTGCGCACAACTCTAGTTTCTCAATGGTGACTGTCTTTGTCAACATGTCCATCGGATTTTAACTCTCCAAAATTTTCATTAAGTGTAACTTTCCGTCCTCGATCAGCGAGCGTATGAAATGGTATCGTACATCGATATGCTTCGTTCTGGCATGATATACTGGATTCTTAGCAAGATGTATAGCGCTCTGGCTATCACAATAAAGTACTCCTCTCCCTTACTTTAGATCCAACTCTTCCAAGCACCCGTTCAACCAGATCATCTCCTTGCTTGCTTCAGTCACCGCGACATACTCAGCCTCGGTTGTAGACAAAGTTACAATCTTCTACAGTCGTGAGACCCAGCTCATTGCTGTCGACGCTAAGGTATAAACATACCCCGTGGTGCTTCGCCTCGTATCATGATCACCGGCGAAGTCCGCATCCACGTATCCCTATAGCACCAACTCCTTTCTCCTGAAACATAGTGGTTTGTTTGTTGTCCCCCTCAAGTACAGCATTATCCACTTCACGGCCTTCCAATGCTGCTTCCCTGGATTGCTTACAAATCTTCTCACAACTCCCACTGCATGGGCGATGTCCGGCCTCGTGCAAACCATCGCGTACATGAGACTCCCAATGGCCGAAGAATATGGCACACTGTTCATATGTTCTCTATCTGCATCTGTCTTAGGCGATTGCTCCTCAGATAGCTTGAACTAACTTTCAAGGGGTGTGCTAACAACTTTAGCATTCTGCATGTTGAACCTCTGAAGTACCTTCTAAATGTATTCAGCTTGGCTTAATCTTAATGTCCCTTCAGCTTCATCCTTACTGATTCACATCCCTAGAATCTGCTTCGCTGCGCCCAGATCCTTCATTGTAAATTCCTTTGCTAGCTGCTTCTTTAAACTGTTTATCTCTTCCAAACATAGTCCTGCTACCAACATGTCATCAACATATAATAACAAAATAATGAAGCTGGACTCGAACCTTTTGAAATAACAGCAATGATCCGAATTACATCTTTTGTAGCCATTGTTCTGCATGAAGTTATCAAACTTCTTATACCACTGTCTCGGAGCCTGTTTCAAACCATATAAGCTCTTCTTGAGCTTGCACACCATCTCTTCCTTTCCTTCTCAATGAAGCTAACAGGCTGCTTCATGTAGATTTCTTCATCCAAGTCACCATGAAAAAAGGCAGTCTTCACATCCAACTGCTCAAGAAAGAGATCTTCTGCAGTCACCAAGCTCAACATCACTCTGATGGTAGTGAGCATCACGACAGGCAAAAATATCTCCGTGTAGTCCACTCATTCCCGCTGTTGAAACCCCTCACGACTAGTCTGGCCTTATACCTCTTGCTTCCATCACTCTCCTGTTTGACCCGGTAGACCCATTTATTATGCAAGGTTTTCTTCTGCGCAGGTAGCTGTGCTAACTCCCATGTCTCATTAGTGAGTAGAGAATTCAATCTCCTCCTGCATCGCATGCTTCCACTGCTGAGATTCACTCACTTGAACTGCCTCTTCATAACACTCCGGCTCTCCGCTATCTGTTAAGAGTAGATAATCAAGTGACGAGAGGTATTTAGGATTTGGTTTGGGTACCCTGGATGACCTCCTAAGCTCTACGCCTTGGGTAGTAGCTTCTGCACCTGTAGTCTCCTCCGTTCTACGGTCAGAACTGACATCGTCGCCCCCATCTGGAAGTTCCTCCAAATCCATGTACTCGGATCCACCTGTATCCGTAGTGTTTCTCCAACTGCTTTGGCTATCATTGTCATTGTCTCTGTCCTTGTACATCACCTCCTCACTGAATATCACATCCCAGCTCCTGATGATCTTCCTGTTCTTCTCATCCCGCAGACGATACCCGAACTCATCAATACCATATCCAATGAATGTACACTTCTGTAACTTAGCTTCTAGCCTGTTCCTGACATGGTCACTGATATGAACATATGCTACACAGCCAAATACTCGCAAGTGTGAGAGATTTATCTTCTTGCCACTCCAAACCTCCTCTGAAATCCCAAAATCTAATGGAACTGATAGTCCGTGATTAATCAGGTAGGCTGTTGTATGCACTGCATCCGCCCAAAATGTCTTAGGCAGACCTGCATGTAATCGCATGCTCCGCGCACGCTCAGTCAAGGTCCTGTTCATTCTCTCCGTAAATACCGTTCTGTTGCGGTGTCCCTGGAGTGGTTCTCTCTAAACGAATCTCATTCGTAGCACAGAACCTCTTGAACTCCTCCAGCTCGTATTCTCCACCATTATCTGATCTCAAACACTTCACCTTCAAATTTGTCTCGTTCTCGACCATGGCCTTCCACTTCTTGAAGATTTCGAACACCTCTGACTTGTGCTTCATGAAGTAAACCCACACCTTCCTCGAGTGATCGTCGATAAAGGTGACGTAGTATCTCGAACCGTCAAAAGATTCTAAGCCTTAGGTGGCCTTCCACCCTTCTGAAAATTAACCCGCTTCTGCTTCCTAAAGATGCAGTCTTCACAAACTCCGACTTCAACGGCGTCGATCCCGGTTAGCTTTCCTTGTGAATGTAGGATTTTCATCCCCTTCTCGCTCATGTGTCCAAGCCTATTGTGCCACAGATCTGTACTCTCCTTGCCAGCTACAATTGCGAGGGTTTCACTCGCATGTGAAGTGAGGTAGAGAGTTCCTGTTTTATTGCCACGGGCAACAACCATCGTACCGTTGGAGATTTTCCACGAATCTCCGGTAAATGTCGAAACGTAGCCTTCTGCTCCAAGCTGTCCCACCAAAACAAGATTCCTCTTCAGCTTCGGCACGTGTCTCACGTTCTTCAGGTTTCACTTAGAGCCCTTTATCTGTATCTGAACGTCGCTCTTTCTAACAATATTACAAGGCTCATTGTCCCCCAAATATACCTTATCAAAGTCCTCTGCTACATAGTTCTGAAGTAGTTTCTTATTAGCAGTGGCGTGGAAAGAAGCTCCTGAGTCGATGACCCAAGAATCAGAATCGCTATCCATAGCAAGGATCAAGGTATCATGCACGATATGAGCCTCCTGCTCACCCACATCCTTCTTTGGTGCTTTACAGACCGAAGACATATGACCCTCCTGGCCGCAGTTCCAACATTTCCCTTTGATGGTTCTAACCTTTGAGTTTGACCTCTTCTTTACTGATTTTGACTGATTCCTGTTCTGGTTCCCTTTCTTCTGGCTTCTGCCTCTCTGCTCGAAACTTAGGGATGAACCTGAACCTTCTGATTCAGACGATTTCCTTCTAACCTCCTCGGATAGAATCATGCTGACAACCTCACTCAGCTTCAACTTCTCTTTCCTCGCCGAATTACTGATTGCCGTCACACAACCCGCCTAACTATCCGGCAACTGCGATAGTAGTAGAAGGGCCTGCACTTCGTCATCGGACATGATGTCCACGGAGATAAGTTGATTAACAATTGTGTTGAACTCGCTGAGGTGCATCGTGAAGGACCGTTCTTCAGCCATCTTGAGATTGAAGAGAGTTTTGACTAAATGCACCTTGTTTGCTGCTGACGGTTGCTCGTACATCTTCGCGAGCGCTTCCATAAGCCCCATCGTCGTCTTCTCCTTCAGAATATTGTGGGCTACTGATTTGGCGAGCGATAACCGGATTTGTCCTAGAGCCTTCCTATCCAGTACCTCCCAATCACCATCTGACTCATCTTTCTTCTGCCCCTTTTCCTTGCCCATCAGCGGGCGATACAAGTCCTTCTGGTACAGATAGTCCTCCCCCCTTTTCCTTGCCCATCAGCGGGCGATACAAGTCCTTCTGGTACAGATAGTCCTCCATCTGCGACTTTCAGTAGGCGAAGTTTGAACCGTCAAACTTCTCGATCTTTGATTTGTTTTTCTCTGCCATGGCTTTCACACAAATTGCTGAACGAAGCTCTGATACCAGTTGTTGGGGATTCGAAACAATCATTCAAATCCTTGCCCTTCCGGACCTTGTGTTGAAAGTAGGAAAGTAGAAATAATACCACAAATAAATATCTAACCTTGCAAAAATAGTAAAGGAGACGAACACACAGATTTAACGAGGTTCGGCAACGTGCCTACGTCCTCGGGAGCCACACCACACAATCTCTTTTATTAATTAAAGAAGAATACAAGCTCTCAAACTAGGGTTTTATCTCTCTGATATTCTCTCTTTTTTTGCAGTCAA